AGCATCTTCTTGGACAGCTCTCCTGGTGCTGCTTCTCTTGTGCCACTTGTCAGTCCCTTGGAGGAAAGTGCTCAGTACACAGCCCTTGTTTGTCTGCTGGGGGTTACTTTTGGAAGTCTTTGTGCAAGAAAGAGAGTTGTTGGTAAATAGTTGCTAATCCAGGTTGTGTCTCTGTGATGTCTGAATTTAAATTTGAAGGCCTGGAAACTGCAGAACCTAAAGAATGGGTCCAGGCTAGTAAGTTATACATAGGTTGTATAGGTACTGTCACTTTCTCTGTATGTTCCTACAAGATTCCTTGCATTAATGAAGTAAGTTGGCAGACATCTCTGTCTTTCAATTTCTTCTAGCAACCTTTGGAAACATCAAAAATTACTGTCAATTGACCTTGATAAAGTGGCACTGCCCAGTTTTCGACAGAACCGACCCCAAGTGAGACCATTGTCCCCCGGAGAAAGTGGAGCATGGGACATTCCTGGAGGTAAATATTGAAAAGTTTGAAAGTTGCTGGTTTGGTTTTGCTTTTTGCATAAGCTTTGGAAAAAACTCAAAACACAGCGCAGCCATATGAGAGGCCACTCTTTATTTTCAGTTGTGAAAAACATGCATATAATAGTATGGCTGTATTATCAAAGGCTGTCTGATGAAGATTTATTTTTTGTATATGAATAGTTTGTTGAATAGAAAGTGTGCATGATATACTCAGAGGAAGATCTTGGTGGGTGCATTTTGATAGTTGAGGTTTGTTTGGATGCTGTTCAGTCTGATGGGTCAGCAGCAGCCCCTGTCCTTGGGAGCTGTGACCACATACCCACTGCTAATTAAAATTCCTTCTGTGAGTGCACAAAAGCAGAGTCCAGAAGAATTTTGTCAGAATGGTGCCTTGGGCAAGCTGTTACACTAACAAATGATGTCTAGCACTCAGAGCAGCTTTCAGGTGGGCAGCTCTCCTTCACAAGATTGGCATTGCAGGCTGAGCTGGAAGCAGTTGGAAAGCCTCATATGTGCTCTTTTCCCAGTCTGAGCTGCTAGACCAGAGACACCTGTAAAAATGAAGGGTTTGTTTCTCTAGCTCATCCTCACTGTTTGCACTGTCTCTGGAGCAAGCAAGCATGAAATCACTTTCCTCGTTCCATCAGGATTTGAATTACAGCAATTGCTTAGTACTAACATTATGGTCAAGTGTCTCCATCTCTCTTCTAATGCAAAACAGAAGACTGTTGTTACAGGGGAAGTCTGGGCTATGCTTTCATGTGCCCGAATAGGTCAAGGTAGAAATGCTGGTGCTTTCCTGTAACGTTAGCATCCCATCTGATTTTCACTAATCGGTCTGCAGCTGTTAATCTTCCTGTCTGAAATGTAATCTGATTAACGGCTGCCTGGGCTTTGAACAAGAGTTAGGGGCAGATCCTTCTGCTAGATGGCATTAGCACCACAAAGCCATGGTGGCTCACGTGGTAACTGCTGCCTTCCAAACCTCTTTGCCTCTCTAGGTATAATGCCGGGCCGGTACAACCAGGATGTGGGACAGACCATTCCTGTCTTTGCCTTTCTCGGTGCCATGGTGGTCCTGGCGTTCTTTGTGGTGCAGATCAACAAAGCCAAGAGCAGGCCAAAGAGACGGAAACCGCGTGTGAAACGGCCGCAGCTGATGCAGCAGGTTCATCCACCAAAGACACCTTCTGTGTGAAAGCTCTGCCTTGCCAAAGATGACCTCCTGTGACTGCTTGCTTTCCAGGCCGATGGATCCAGTGGAGGTGCAGTGAGTGTGCACCTGACATCATCTCATAGTCTTTGGTTTGTGGAGAGAAAAAAAGAACCTCAGCTGATCATCTGTACATAAAACTGCAGCTTTAAGCAGCTGAAGCCACCAAAGACTTGAATACTGTTTAAATGGCTGCTTAGTCACTACATATCCCAAGAGGGGGAAAATGGACCTTTTTTTTTAAGCTGACCAAACTAAAATTTATTTGTTTAGAGGCTATTTTCTATATTTATTGTTGGGGAGGGCGGGGGAAAAGTCACTTTAAGGACCTCTGCTAAGGAGAAACAAGTGCATTTTTTTGGATGGAATGCAATTTTCTAGAATGGTTCTATGCTGTAGAGTATAATGTACACCATTAAAGGAGGAAGGGACTGAGAGAGACCAGTACAAATCAGTGAGGCATACTCCTGCAGTTTATTTTTATAAAGCCAACTACCATGATGTTTTGTAATTTTTGGTCACGATTTCACCGTTGTTGGTGAAGCAGATTTTTCAATAAATATGTTATCTATATGAAGCAAAGACAGTGTGCTAAGTGGCTCTTCTTTCCACTTGCAGTCAAAGAGAGCAAATTGCTGGGTAGAGAAGATTTTCATGTCTCCTCTCTTCCCACCATATCTTTGTCCTTACCAGCGGTATCCCAAGTCGCAGACTTTCCTTTGGAGCACTAATTGGACAGTCATACAAACAGTGCTTGCTCTGAGTGAGCACAGAGTTCTGGAAACCTTCAAAACTCTGCAGCACATTATAAGGAGAGAGCTCTTGAAGAGCTGTATAGAAAACTCATGGGAATGGCACCTAGCAGCACTATGTGGTGTCACAGAGATGAAAACCCAGTCTCCTTTGGTTTGTCCTGCTTAAAAGCCTGTGAATTGTCACTGGCTTAAATAAGGATGCAGGCACAAGTTTCCCCTGTCCGTGCAGTGCCAGTTAATGTTGCCATAATTGAAATAGCTTCTCTCTTTTCTAGTGAAGCTGAGCTTCTCCCTGCCAACTGCTTTCATCATTGCTCCAGATGAGCACCTTTTCCTAGGAGCCAGGAGCTGGTGGCTGCCTGTATTTGTGAATGGAATGGCAGCCTGGGCAGGTAAGCAGTGTGCACTGGTGAATGGTCCTGGGTGAGTTCGTGGGCAGCTCTGGGTGGTGGCTGCCTGTATTTGTGAATGGAATGGCAGCCTGGGCAGGTAAGCAGTGTGTGCTGGTCCTGGGTGAGTTTGTGGGCAGCTCTGGGCATGGCTGGAGAAGGAGGAGGCAGGGACAGCCCTGCTGGGCAGTCTGGCTGCACCCATCCTCTTAGAGCTTACCAGCAGGGATGGGGGTGGGCTGTGGGAAGTGCACTGCAGGAGAGAACTTTGCTCCATGTAGTCCTGGAGCCATGGATAGGGTTTGTGAGTGTCCTGCAAAAAAGATTGGGCAAACCAATTTTCCCTAACTTGAAGAGTGGTTGCCTTTTCCCAGCATTTTTCCTCTGGAGGATGCAGAAATGTTGCCTTTCCCAGTGCAACAGAATGTTGCACTGGGAAAGGCAACATTCTGTTGCCATGGCAGAGAAGGCACTGAGCTTTTTCTTTGGAGCTGTTAGTGGAAGCTTGTTATGGCTGAGAAGATGGTCCCAAGGCTGGGCTTGTGCCATCCCAGTGGGGCTGGAACCTCTTGCTCCTTCCTTTCTGAACATAGATCCATAATGATAGGGAGGGGGTTTTCAGCATCTCAGCTGTGACATATGGGTGAGGACCATCATAGGACCAGCCAGCAGCAGCTGTGCAACTTGTCCAGGTTGTAAAAAATCAATCAGTAAAGGCATGAAATCTCAGGGGAAAACCCTCAGAGAAGAGATTGCAGGTAGCAAAGCACAAGTGTGATCAGTGTTTTTATTTGAATGAAACAAGGACTGTCCATTTGCATTTTTGTACCTTCTACAGTCTTCAAAGATATTAATGTGGAAAACATTAACAACCTTTTTTCCACTTGCCACGGGCACCCAGCAGCAGGTAAAGCTGCCAACCCACAGGGACCCTCAGGTTATGGCTTGCAGTCCAGGGGCTGGAGCACCCAGATAAATGTGGGAAAGGGAGGGAAGAGTCACTGACGGAGCCCAGAGTCACTGGGCAAAGAAGCTGGCTGGGGCTGCTGTGGTGGTGTGGGAGATGAGCTGCACCCCTCTGGTTTGAGGTGCACCTCTTCCATCACAGGGAGACTGGAAAGCTTTGGTGCCACTTCTCAGGTCGGTTCTAATGAGGAGACTTGCTCCTCATCACAGCACTAATGAGAGATTAGAGCTCCACTGCAGCCTCAAAACCAGAATCAAGCAGTATCAAAGCACCAGTCTGAATTAAGAGCCTTTCCCAGTGGCTGGTATTTTACAGCCCAGTGGCCAATTTCTAAGTCGCAGAGGCCAATTATTTCTGAAGCCTTTGGTGTGCAGCTAATGAAGGCTTGGAAGGACCCTTCTAAGTGTTTATAAGCCCTGTAGGCGGCAGAGATGTAATGGAGGTGGCAGGCACAATTAGCCATCCATAATTCCTCCTAGCAGCTGATTAAAGTATCTTTATCCCTCTTACTAAGATCAGAAAGGCACATATTTGGGAAATCAAAAATGCATTAGGGGCTGTCACCCAACGCCAGGGCCTGTGTGCTGAGCCCTGGGGCAGTGGCATGTGGCAGGAGTGGCACAGAGCTGCTGGGTGTCCCCCGTGCCGGGAATGGGCCCCTCATTCCTGTGAGGTGCAGCCTCCTCTGTGCAGGTCCTCTGCAGCATCAGTCACCCCACCCTGGTATCCTGGCATCCCCTCCGCCTGTGTGGAGCAAGGAGTGGGATGGGATGGCTCCTCTCCACAGTCTCCCAGTGCAGGAAAGCACCAGTGGGCTTTTAGCTCTTTCGGAGACACGCAGGGGTGCCGGCCTCATCCTGCACCCAACGAGTTATGAGGGGTGTGAGCTGCAGCCGCTTTCCTTCACCCTTCCTCGGGCACTCCGTCATGCCCCTTGGCGGCACTTTCACTCCCGGGTGAACAGAGCAGGATGAGGGTGGCCTCAGTCCGCCCAGCCCTGTGGTGATAATTTCGGGGATAGTGAGAGTACGAGCCCCCAGCCCAGCTGCCCCGTGCTGGGAGCTGGAGGGGCGGCTGCGCTCCGTCGGGGCGCTCTGAGGGCCGGGGGCGCCGCGCGGGGCTGTGAGCAGGCCGGGGCTGTCCGTGGGTGAGCTCCTGCCGGGGCTTCCCACGGCCGCCTCCACAGCCCTGCCGGGATGGAGCGGGCGGCGGGCGAGGGCCGGCCCCTGCTGCCGGCGGCGGGGGGCTCCGCCGCGCTCTCCTCGCCCGGGCTCTCCTCCGCCGGCGCCGTCTTCATCCTGCTCAAGTCTGCGCTGGGCGCGGGGCTGCTGAGCTTCCCCTGGGCCTTCGGCAGGGCCGGCGGGGCCGTTCCCGCCCTCCTGGTGGAGCTGGTAAGGGCGGACTCGGGGCGGGGGACGCGGGGGCGATGGGCTGCGGCAGCCCCAGAGGGAGCCGAGGGGCGCCGGTCCGGGGAGGGAGCGGAGGGAGCGGACGCACCTGCTCCGGTGCTCGGGGAGCTGGCGGGCACCCCCTCCGTACGGCACCCCCGTCCCGACCCCCGACACGTCCTTAGGTTGGTGTTGCGGTGCCTCCTGAGGGATGCTCCTTGCAGCTGAAGCCACGCTTGTAGCTCAACTCAAAGTAAATGGGTGCCTGCTCCCGTACATGTCCCCAGACCCCAAATCTAAACCCGAAGTACAACATACGGCTGTATCTCCATCCTTTTGCTGACCTTTGTTACCCAGGCCCACAGGGTGATCTGGCCAGTAGCCTGGTCCCTGTCCGTGGGCCTGCTGTGTCCTGTCCTGCTCTGGGGGTGATGGAGGGTCGGTGCTTTTGCTGGCTGTGTCCCTGCAGGGCTCGCTGGTGTTCCTGGTGAGTGGGCTGGCAGTGCTGGGCTATGCCGCGGCCCTCAGCGCCCAGCCCACCTACCAGGGTGTGGTGCGGGCTGTGTGCGGCGCGGCCGTCGGGAAGCTCTGTGAGGTCTGCTTCCTCCTCAACCTCTTCATGATCTCCGTGGCCCTCCTCAGGGTGGTGGGCGACCAGCTGGAGAAACGTGAGTTGCTTCCCCTCACTGTGTTTGGGGCTTGTTTAGGGCCGGCAGCTCTCAGGAGTGAGGGGAAGGTGCTCCCACGTGGGTTGGGGTTACCCCCAGGGTTTTCCTGGAAATTCTGGAGACATGGGGCTCCCTGGTTCTGCCATGGTGTGATGCTCCCGACGTCCTTGGGCCATCTTTCAGGGTGCAGCTGACCTTCCACTGTCCCCTACAGTGTGTGACTCCCTGTACCCCAATGGGACGCTGAGTGGGGCTCCTCAGCTGCCCCCCTGGTACGTGGACCAGCGCTTCACCCTCTCAGCTCTCTGTGTCCTCGTCATCTTCCCACTCTCTGTCCCCAGGGAGATCGGCTTCCAGAAGTACTCCAGGTACCACCTGGGCTATCCCTGTGGTGGCCCACCCCTAGGCACCCTGTACTCGAGGTTATCTCCTCCCAGGAACCTGTGGGGCTGTGGGAACCCCCCTACTCCCTTCCTCCTGGCTGTGTGCTGATGCTCTCCCATGCCCTGACAGCATCCTGGGCACGCTGGCTGCCTGCTACCTCACTCTGGTCGTCATCCTGAAATACTACCTGCAGGCAGAGAGCCTGCGTTTGACTGAGCCGCCCCAGACCTCCAGGTAGGAGGGGCAGCCCCACGTCCCTCCTGCCTGAACGCCATGGCCTGAGCAGTGACATGGGGGCAGGGCTGGAGGTGGGGCAGGGGTGGCACGGGGCCCTGTGTGTGGTGGGGATGAGCTGGGGACAACTCACAGTGCGTGGTAGCTCCCAGCCCCAGCTTTCACCCCAGCAACACCCCTTTCTCCCAGAATCACTGGGAAGGAGATTCCCATGGGGTGCCATCCAGGCTGCACAGTTTATGGCATGAAGGTTTCTTCTCCATGAGAGCCTCATGCCCTTTGCTCTGTGCTTCCTCTCCACATGCCACAGGTCCTCATCCTGGACCTCCATCTTCAGTGTCATTCCCACCATCTGCTTTGGCTTCCAGGTAGGTCACCCTGGCCCCTCTGGCTGCAGCTGCCAGGGCAGTGCTGGCAGCCACCCATGGTGCCCCAGACCATGGGGATGCTGTCCCTTGAAGGGCAGGTTGCAGGAGAGGGGAACTGTGGCTGTCACCAGAGGTGCTATGAGGCCTGGGAATGAGGCAGAGTGGGACAGGGCACCTGTAGGTGGGAGAGAGGATGCTGGGGGTGGGGGATGTCCCTGCATGGGGCCCCAGCACCATCCCCCCTTGCCTTGCAGTGCCACGAGGCATGTGTGGCCATCTACAGCAGCATGCGCAACCAGAGCTTCTCCCACTGGGTCACCGTCGCTGTGCTCTCCATGCTCATTTGCCTGCTCATCTACTCCCTCACTGGTAACCCTAGCACCAAACCCTTCACTCCTCCTTGCCCCGGGGGTCCCCTCTCCCCTTGGTTCATCCATCCTCCTCAGAATTCCTCTGTCCTGCTCACTGCACAGCTGCCCACCCCCACCTCCCTGTCAGCAGGGCTCTATGGCTACCTGACCTTTGGTGAGGCCGTGGCGTCCGATGTCCTGATGTCCTACCCAGGGAATGACCCGCTTGTCATCGTCGCCCGCCTGCTCTTTGGCGTCTCCATTGTCACCATTTACCCCATTGTGGTGCTGCTGGGCAGGTGAGGGGAGTGGTGACAAGCCGGGTGTCCCCCGAGCTGATGCAGCTCCCCTGGGTGCTGTCAGCACCTGCAATCCTCGCTCCCAGATCCGTGGTGAAGGACTTGTGGGCAGCCCCGAAGCGCGGGGCCTTGGCAGTGCCTGGGGCACACGAGCGGCGGAGCCGGGTGGCACTGACGGTCACCTGGATGGCTGCCACGCTGGGCATCGCCCTGTTCGTCCCCGACATCGGCAAAGTCATCGAGCTCATCGGGGGCATCAGCGCCTTCTTCATCTTCATCTTCCCAGGCAAGAGCAGGCACCAGGAGGGAGGAAAGCGGTGGGGGGACACTGGTGCCAAGGGCATTGCTGCAGGGGAAAGTGGCCTGTTCTGGCCCCGTTTTGGGGGTTCAGGGCTGGCTTGTGGGGGACAATGCAGTGAGGCTGGGTGAGGGGTGCTGTGTTGGGGCTGAGCTTCTGCACTGACAGCAGGGCTGTGCCTCGTGTGTGTGACTGGGACCCGCAGCCTTGGGCCACGCAAAAAGTGAGTGTCTGCGTGCTCAGCGGTGGTGGGGGCAAGGGAAGGGACAGGGACAGGGCCAGGGTGAGGTATCCTATGGGCCGTGGCCAGCGCAGATTCCTGGGGATCACTCTGGTCAAGGTGGGAACCCTGCAAGGAGGGGAATTTGAGTGCCCCGAAGTGCTCTACTGGGGTTGTGCCTGGGAATGGTCCCTCTGTACCAGGGCTGTGTCCAGTCATTGAGGAGGTGCCCAGAGTGACTTTAGAGGCAGAAGATCTGTGGGGTTGGGTGGCACTGGGGCACCTGGAGGGGACTGGGGTGGGGTCAGGTTGGGGGTCAGAGGGGCAGGGTGCCCCAAGACAGGAGGCCATCAGGTGTTTGGTGTCTGTTGTGCCGTGGCGGTGTGTCCCCATCACCGCTCCTGTCTGGAGGGGCTGGGGCACAGCAGCACCCATGTCAGGGGGACCTCACATGGTGCTGGTGAGTTTGGGATAAGTGTGTGCTTTAGCCTGTCTGTGGTGCCCCTGGGGGAGCAGCAGAGTTTGAGGGAGGATGGAGATTGTGAGGTGGGTGGAGGCAGCACCCCAGGACATTGGGGTCTTGGTCAGGAGGGTGCTCTGGGGACCAATGAACATCTGGGGAGGGGTGAGGGTGTCCCAAAGGGTGCCAAAGTGCTGGAGGGGCCAAGGCAGAAGGTCAGCAGGGGTACCCAGGTGGGTGACAAAGGCCTGGAGAGGTCCCTTGGGGAGACCTGCCAGAGCTCATCATGAGGAGAAGGGATGACATGAGCTGGGGCGATGGAGACTGCGAGGGGACAGTCCCAGCCTGCCTGGGACAGTCTGGGAAGGAGCACGGTGCTGAGGACTCTGCGGCAGAGCAGCAGCCGGGTTTGGGGTGAGTGCTGCATCCCAGGGGCTTAGTATGGGGCCAGGTGGGCTGTGTGCCCCGGGAGGAGGGAACAGGGAGGTGCAGACCCAGGGCTCCGGGGACTGGGGCTGGAGCTGGGGAGGGGACAGGGCTGGAAGCATGTGGTGACAGGATGGAGCTGGGGCTGTGTCTGGGAGTGGCTGTGCCCGAGCACAGGGTGGGGGGATGTGGGTCTCAGCTCCGTCAGCAGGGCCATTGGGCACAGACAGAATTGGGAATGATAGCATGGCGGCATCTGCTGGCTTTTTGACCAAGGCTTGTGTGTCGTTGCAGTGGACACGGGGGCTGCTGGGCTTTCTGCCATCGACTGGGAGCAAGGCAGAGCAGCAGGGCAGAGGAGACCCTGCAGAGAGCTCCGCAGCCAGAGGCGCTGGGGCACAGGGGTGGCCCGTAACTGGGGTCAGCTCTACCCCGGCAGCCTCTGCTCGTGTCGCTGCAGGGCTGCTCTCATCGCCTGGGGCGTTCTCTCCGTTCTCGGCGGTGCCTTCGTCTGCGGGCAGAGCGCTGCCCTGGCCGTGCTGGGGCTGCTGCGCTGAGGGAGCACAGAGCCCCGTGGTGACCCCACCGTGACCCCCCCAGCGTCCTGCCCCGGACAGATCCCCGAACACAGCCGCACCACTGGATCCCATGGCGGTTTTATTTGGCATCGCCGTCCCTGTTGTACAGTGGCTAATAAAGACAGGAGAGGGTATTGGCAAAGGTCCTGTGCCACACACCCTGAGGGACCCCCACGCACGGCAGGGTGGGTGTGGGATTGGCACAGACAGACAGACACACAGACAAAGTACAGACCCCAGGAAGGAGGGGAGGCAGCCACCCTCACGCCTACAAGGCACCAGCTGCAACTGTGCACATGCAAAGGAAACCCCTGGGCACCCCCCCACAGCTGGAAAGGACTAAGGGGCACCTTGGGAGAAGGGAAACCCCCCTCTGCCACCACCCTGACTCGCCCCTGGGGCACGGGTCCCCATCCCTGCAGGCACACACACACATACACACCAGGCACAGCCTCAACCCCCATCTCCTCCCGGTGTGGCCCCTGGGGACCTGCACAGAATCCAACCTACTCCCTGCTTTCAGGGGGGGCTCCAGCCTCCCACCTCCCACTCCCATCCCTCCTTCCTAGTGCCTGCCTGCCTGCACCCATTGCCCCCCCTCCCTGCCTAGCTATGTCTGGGGGATGTCCCCCTCCCCAAACGCTGCCAGCCCCTCCCTGGCAATCCTTCTTTCCCCTGAGACCACTCCACAGCAGGGAGAGATGCCCCAGGTGATGGGGTAGCTGAGGGAGGACTCTCTGGGGTGGGGGACACACACGTGGGAGTTTCCTTCACTGCAGCCAGGTCACACCGACACGTCCCCGGGCACGGCTGCCCCGCACAGGGGACAGGTGCTGGCGGGCTCCCAGCACCGACTGTCACTCTCGGCTCAGGGTGCACCAGGCAGCTGCAGGGGAACATCACAGGAGGGTTACACCTGCCCCGCCCCACGTCACCCAGAACCCCAGCCCAGCCAGCTCAGCCCATGCTGTCCTTCACACCATGCCACCTGCCCACCCTTGCTCCCCAACAAGTGAGGAGGTGCTGGCTGTCCCGGGGTCCCTGTCCCCCACCCTCTGGGGTGCCTGCCTTCCTACCTGGCACGGCCACGCTGGAGATGGCCTCAGGCTGGCTGAGCGTGTCCACCTTGACGTGCTGGAAGCCCTTGCAGGTGGCACTCTGCAGGTGCCTGTGCCCAGGTGGGAGAGAGTGGGTGACACCCAACCCCCCAGGAAACACCATCCCAGCCCCCCACAGCACCACAGGCCCTGGCAGGGCTGTGTGCCAGCAATCCTGCTCAATTCCCCTTGTGCAGAGCACCCTGCTTGGTTCAGGACAATGACCCCTGTCATCACCACATCCAAAGGCACTCCCAGGTGGGAGGTCTAGAGAGACCCACCCCAACCCCCCTGTCCTGTTTACAGGGACAGCCCTAGGACAGACAGACAGACAACTCCTCAGTCCTGCTGTCAGACAGGAGACAGAGCTTGGGGCTCAGCTGCTCTAAAACCCCTTCACACCCAAGCATCCCAAAATGGGCTTTTTCATCCCCTCCCCTACCTCTTCCAGTCCTCCTCGGTCTCCCAGAACTCATAGATGATGAAGGTGACCCCATCAGGCAGCTTCACCGCGGTGACGCTGGCAGAAACAGGGAGAGGGGGAGAGCCCCCAGCATGGGGCATCCCTTCCCCCTCTGCAGCCACAGGTGTGCTCTCGGGTGGACTATCGAGGGGGGACCCAGCCCCAGCAGCCCAGGTAGGGGTAGCCCCCTCCCCCCCATCCCAGCACTGCCCAGCCCACACAAAAGCAGTGTTGGTGGCTACATCCCAAATCCTGGCTGCTTTGCCTCAGTCCTTCACTTGGTCCTCACCCCAGCCCATGCCAAATCCCCATCTCCCCGGCCCCTGATGGGCAGCTGCTGGTGGTACCCACTGGAAGCAGTCCCGCTCCCCGGCCACGCTCTTCAGGTACTGCTTCAGGGAGCTGCAGAACTCGCCCAGGTGCTTGTGTGACACTGTCATCTCGTTCCTCACCAGGAGCAGGTACTGCTGGGCCCCCAAACACAGCATGTGAGACCCACAGAAACACAGTGACCCCGCAAATGTGGCTCTGTGCTGCAGGGGCACCCCAGCACCCACGGGTGGTGGTCGGCACACTCACCGTGCAGGCCGTGCTCTCGCTGTCCGACAGCCGCTGGTGCAGGTCAAACCAGAGGGTCTGGGAAAAGGGCAATAAGCAACAGAGGGGGAGGCAGATTGGCTGAGGCTGCGTGTCCCTCCCTGCTTGGTGGGTTTCTGTCCCCAGCATTTGCAATGACAGTGCCCCCTTCTCCACAGGGAACGGGCTCCACGTCCAGTCAGGACCCTTCACAAAAGTTCCCTCTGCTCCCATTACAGCCAACATCCCCTGCTGCACGTCCTCATCCCTGCCCCAACACAGCTGGGGCTAGGTCCCTGAATTGTCCCTGGGATGGCAGGACAACACCACGCAGGGAAACATTGGCCCTTACCTTGTCCTCCAGCTTGCCAATCAGCTTGGCCAGCCTGTTGATCTGCCCCTCCAGCCCCTCTGCCTTGGTGTCAGGGGAACCTGCGCAGAGCCAGGAGACAGTGATGGAGTGAGGGGCACCTGCAGGCACCCCCTGAAAGCCCTGTGCTGCTGCTGGGACTTGAGTGCTCCAAGCCACCCCAGGCAGCCAGCACTTACCAGCCTGGAAGCTCTTTCCTTGCTCCCTGGGGACCATCCAGGTGGTGGGAGAGTAGCTGGGAACAGGGTTGTCATACCAGGTGTCGCTCAGGCTGTGACCATCCTTGCTGGGGCAGTGTCTGCAACCAGAGAGCACACCGGGTGTCAGGACAGCAGAGCTGGGCACACACAGAGTGGCGTGAGCCAGCCTGGGGAGCCAGCACTGGAGCATCCTTTCTGGCAGCCCTGCCCATGATACCAGACCCCTTGGAGGGGGTCAGAAACAAAGGAATGTCAGTGGGCTGCTCCCAGCAGCCATCACTTTTATTTCCTGCTTATGGACAGCACAGCCCTCCTGGCATCACCAGCAGCCTTCAGGGCCTTTTTCTGTCCTAGACACCTGCAACATGGGGCATTCAGGCCCCTGTGCCCAGCCAGCTGCACCTTACTGGGGCTGGTTTTGCAGCCCAATGGCTTTGGTGGCTTTCAGACAGAAAAGCTGCTGCCACGCAGACTGCCCATGCCCGAATGGCTGCCCATGAGCAGAAGTTAGTATCCCACTAACAAACTGCAGCTGCAGTTCTCCTGGAGAATAGAAACATCCACTGCAGCATTTCCTCCAACACGCTTTCTTTGTCTGGCTCTACAAAGCCCATTTGGTCTGGCTGTTGCTCAAAGACCCAAAAAACTGTCCTGACACACTTCCACAGATGGAGCATCCATAATCACCATCCAGCACCAGGGCCTCAGTGGTCCTCCCAAGACCACTCTCTCTGGCTTTATTTGCAAGCTTCCACAGATGGAGCATCCATAATCACCATCCAGCATCAGGGCCTCAATGGTCCTCCCAGGACCTTGTTTATTTGCAAACCAGAGAGAATCAGAGATCTGCCATCCTCACAAGGGCTTGCAGCTGCCGTCCATGTGAGTGATGTGGGAATGGGTTTGGGGAAGAATGACCCTCTCCTTTCTTCTCCACCAAAAGGAAGCCTGTGCCACAGAGGGAGAGGTTGAGCAGCTCAGAGGATTTCCAGTGTTTCCTTCCAGCAAGAGCAGCTCTGTGCCAGCTGACTGCTGACAGAGGTGCCTGGGAGCCCTGGCTCCTCTTGGCACCTTTTGTTAGTCAAGCAGCTCCCAGCTGGAGACAATAAGCTGAGTGCCCTGGAGCCAATTGGCACCACACCAGCCAGCATCTCCCTGCCCTCCTGTCCCTCCCTGGCACCTGGCTCCTCCTAAGCACAATTGCTGGGCTATCTTTCCCCAGCTACCTTGTAAATCAGCCAATGTGGGCTCCACCATATACACAGGGACATGGTGTGCAGGTCCCAAAGAACATCTCCAAGATAAGGAAGCAGGAACAACAATAAAGGGTGCAGGAGCATCCCTTTGCTACAGGCTGTGCAATTATACCACTGCTGGTCCTGGATTATCCCCTGTCAATAGACAGGAAATTAGGCAAAAACAGACAGAGATTTATTTTAATCAGAATTTAATGAGGTGTCTCCATCTTGGACCTCTGCCTTTGCACTTTGTTCTACAGCCCTTTATTTTCATACTTTTTAGGCCACCTCTTTGTCTTCATGCGGATGCAGGAGATAATTTTTTTGTGGGACTTGTTTTTCTTTTTAGCTATTATCTTCATGAGAAAACAACTACAATACTCCCCATTATGGTCTGGGCCCACACATCAGCAAATAAAAGCCAGCAAAGTCTTTCATGGGCTCTAATTGCTCTGTCTGATGCTGGGTTTGTTTCCTTTTTATTGTTTTCCAGGAGCTCCTACTTCTTTTTGTACAAGGTTAGCCACAAAACAAAGAGAAGAAAGGGATGTGAGATGATGAAACCCACAGCATTCCTGCTGGAAAAGCTGCTGGGATGGTGGCAGAGCTGCTCAGGTCTCACTGTGTTCCATAGAGTCTGTCTTAGGAGGGAGTTGGGATTTTCACTCTCCATGTGCCCCTCTCCCCATACATGGCTTTGGGAAGCCAAAACATCCCCATGCAGGCATCCCGAGGCCTCCTGGTTTGAAGGAACAGCAGGAGAAGGGTTGGTCTGACAAACAGACGGGTTTCCATGACAACCTGTCCTGGTTAGAGCTGGTGACAGTGGCACTCTGGGGAGCTGCGTGACACTGACACCGAGGGGGCTGTGCTGAGGCTCTGACTCTGCTGCTGGGATCTCCTTACATCTTGAGATCATCCTTAAATCTTGAGACGCTCTCCTCTGTGCTGCCCAAGCTCAGCGGCGTGTGCTGGGCTGCTGGCATGGGGACAGCCCTCACGACACCAGGGACAGCACTGCCTGTCCTCAGTGCACAGCTGCCTTTTCCCTCCGGATGGTTACTGGCACGGGAATCTGTCCCTGTGGGCTGTCCCCAGCTCACCTGAGGCAGGTGCCTGTGTTTTGCCCTGGGTGGGAGCAGTGGTTCGCTCAGAGCTGCAGCCCTGCGCACCCAGCGCTGCCCAGCCTGGTGCCAGGTGCTGCCCCTGATTTGCATCCCCATGCACAGTTCTCTTCTGAAGGGTGACCCTGGGGACTGTAGGAGAGGAAGGGACAGGGCAGGACAGAGAGGTGGAGGAAAGCCCCCAGAGTTCAGGAAGCTGGGAAGGGAAGCAAAGGGAAAGGCCCAGCTCCCCTTCGCTGCTGCACAATGTCTGCTGCAATTCCCTCACCCCACAAAAGCATCCTCCTCCTCCCTTTCCACCCTCCTGCACCAGAGGAGGGCAGGAGTGCTGCAGACCTGGCGGGGTTGGTTTGCTCGTCGATGGCATCCACAGCACTCTCCACGGAGCTCAGCAGTGACTGGGTCTGGTTGGCCGTCTCCTTCAGCAGGAAGCGGGTCACGAACTGGTCCACATTGCTGCCGCTCTCGTACACCTGCAGAGGCACACGGGGAGCACGGTGAGCACCAGCGCAGCACCTGCAGCACCGCCAGGGGCACAGCCAGTGCAGCACCTGCAGCACCACCAGGGTCACAGCCAGTGCAGCACCTGCAGCACCGCCAGGGTCACAGCCAGTGCAGCACCTGCAGCACCGCCAGGGTCACAGCCAGTGCAGTACCTGCAGCACTGCCAGGGTCACGGCCAGTGCAGCACCTGCACTGCATCCCTCCTGGTCCCCTCCCACATCCCCACGATGTAAAGAGGTGTTCCCCAAAGCCCCTAGTAGCTTTCTTTAGCATGATCTTCAATGACTTTACTGTTGCCTTGCAGCCAGTGGGTGCAGGTATGAAAAGTGTGTCCTCTGCTTTGGAGATCCCTGCTTGGAGAGTTCAGCATGTTATACAGTGCCCTAGTCCACAACAGTATGGCCAGCCCAGCACTCACGTTAAAGGGGTTTGGGATGATGCACAGGACTCATTGTGCTGTTTGACTGACAGAACCTCCCAGGGCAATACAAACTTTTTCAAGAAAAAGAACACCTAAAAATATTTTAATAGAATGGCTGATCTACATGAAGCACCTGGGGCCCCTTTCTCAGAACAGCCTTGCTGAGCCCTGCCCAAGGCACAGTCCTGCTCCTGCACCTTCTGACAGTCACCAGCACAAGTGGGACACTGGCACAGACTGTCTAACACTGACCCAACCAATCCAGCATTGGTTCAATGCCACTCAAACCAGTTCCACACCAGCCCAACCAGCCCAAGGCCAGCCCAGTGACCACTGACCTCACCAGCTCTGGCTGAAGCCAACCACTCAGCATCAGAGCTGAAAACACTTGCAGTAAAAAAAAAAGGCTCCCTGAAACCCAGGCTCATCAGCACGACTTTTTCCCAGACTCTTTCCCACCCATCAGTGCCTGCTGGGACAACACACTGCCCAGGCAAAACCCTGGGCAGTCTGTCCCTGTGTGCTCACACCTCCCGGCATGGGACTCCTCTGGGAGGAATGAATGAATTTTTGGAGCCATGAGACAGGGATGGATGCTCCTGGCTCCCTGCATTCCATCAGCAATGACCACACTCATGGGACTGGAGTGGTCCCAGCACCGCTGGTTATCTGAGCATGCAGCAGCACAACATGAGCACCTCACACTCCCCAAAGCAAATTATTCCTGTTTTATGGTGAAGCTATTAACAAGGGTTATTTCCATGGCAACTGGAGCAGCTCTGCGAGAACCCAGAGGGCCTTCATCTGCACCTTCATCTCCTGTATGAAATCATAAAACAACAATGAGCTGATGGAAAAACCCTTTGGGGGAACTGCTCACAGAGCTGATTCCTCACACCTCTTTTGGTATGGAAGCATTAGTTTCTTGACAGCTTCTTGAGCATCCAATTAGCAGCAGTTAATGACTTCTGTCTAACACAAGAAAACCTGCTCACAGCCTCAGTGTTTGGGGGGATATGCACCACATGGTGATCCTCAGGAGATGGTGGTGCACAACGAGGTGATGGTGATGCTGAAGCTGTGAGAGGATGTGGAGCTAAATGGTGGATTTTTTATTAACTAACCACAGCCTATAATCTTGGTTCAGCTGTAGGAAAAATCAAACAGGTGATTCCCACATTCACTGAAATCAGTTGAACTCCCTACATGCAGATTGGATGCATGGATGGATGGATGGATGGATGTTTGGTACAAAGCTATTCCAGCCAGTGCAGAGAAAATTGGGGTGTTTGTGAAGATCTGATGCTTTTTGACAGGCCAGGAAGCCAAATAGATCTGGAATCAAAACAACAGGGATTTTTTTTTCTCCCTCTTAACTAACTGGCCATTTGCCAGCCCAGCTGTGACATTTGCTCTCAGGAGTTGAATCAGAAATGCACATGCTTAGAGGTTTTTTTCAGCAATCCCTCAGGTTCTCCTCTAGCACGTGTCTTCTTCAGGGCTGCAAAAACAAACCATTAAAAAGACCAGCTATAAAGGGATCCTTCCCATTGCCTTACTAAAACATTTGTCAGACTATCCTAGTGAGATTTAATGAGGTTTAGTCTTATTAATTCCACCCTGAAGAGTTATTTCCTCCTTGCTTAGCTTGAGAAGTTAAAATATTTATGGAGATCATGTAATAATTGCTGCTCAATGAAGTGCTTTGTGCCAGAAACTCTTGCACATCTCCAAGCCTGCTCTTTCCCATCCATCATTTCCAGACAAGCTCTTTGCTGAACTGCCTGGCCTTGACCTCTGCTGCTGCAAACAGGGGGCTGTGAGTGTTTGCAACGAGCAGCAAGTGTGAAAACATCATTGAAGGGATGGCCTTGAGATTTCTGTGCTGATGGCTCTCAGGAGAGCCTCAGAAAGCATCATGATCTGACAAAGCAGGAAATGAAACAGAGACATTCAAAAATGAGAGAGGAGTGGGGAAAGGACAGCGTGCATTATTGGGGAAATATCACCCAGGGCTGGGTCTCTGGTCAGCTGGCTGAGGTCCAAACCCCAAATCCACCCTCCTCCTCCACATCACAGGCTGTTCGTGTGTCTGTAAGGCACCTTCCCACACACACTGGCAGCCAACACAGGGGCACAGTCTGCTCAAAGCCCCACCACCGCTCTTCCAGCTTTTGATTTCCACAGGAACCCACCCAAAATTGCCCAAATTCTGGCACAGATTTATGACAACACCCCTGGGATGTGTTACTTGTGCAAAGCATAACTGGGATTTTGATGCTGTTGAGTGCTTGGATTTGCCAACCATCGCCAAGTTTCCCTCACCAAACACTGCAAATGGATGCTTAAAAATGGGCTCTCATGGCCATGTCCTTTTGGGTACCAAATACTGGGGAATGAGAGTTTTTATGTTATTGAACATCTGAAAGCTTCTTTGCTGGCATTTTTAAAGGTCACTATTCAGCTCATTAAGACTACAGGATGTAAAATATAGATTATTTTGCACCACCCACGAACTCAGAGACCCACTGTGACCTCCCCACATCTTCCCTTTGCCTCACAGGGTTACAGCCTGACCAACAAGGCTTCCCAGGGCTGGCTTCCAGCAGGACTGGCCAAATTGGCTGACAATTACCACGCCTGGGGACACTGAAGGCTTCTCCAACTGTTAATAACCACAGTCCAAGCACACCCACAGAGTGATGCTGCCGAAATGAGAAGGCTTTTCAGTTGGAAACCAAAGGCAACTCTGTTTCACCCACACTTTTCCTCCAGTTAAAAAAGCAAAACCCAACAACAAACCTATTGCCATGCCATATAACACCCATCAAGCCTCATCCCAGGATGATGGGGAGGTTATCTTCCACCCACCCAGCCCTTTAAAAACCAGGCATGTGTTGCACTGCAGTCTCTGAGTGGCTGATTTAAATTCGTTGCTCATAATTGCCTGTTTGCTTCCAAGAGATATTTTCTTATAATTAAAATAACACTCAGACCTGCCTCTTTCTCCTCTCCCTCCCCCCGACTTTTTAAATCCCTTCCAAAGCAGAGACCCAAAACTGATTGCCTGGCACATAATCAGTAGGAGAAACCTGAAGAGAACAGGCATTTAAATAGTTGATAAATGAAAGCATTACCATATGAAAGACCCTCAGCCTTCCCAAAACAGCTCTAAAAAAACAAATGAGACACCTGTCCAGATTTTAAAGATGACAACAGAATCATATGGATTTGAAAAGTTTTTGCTATAAAATCCTCCTCCTGCAAATCTCAATGTTGGACGCTTCTCATCTCACGCTTACCTTGTCTGGTCCTGAAGGTTTCCTGCTCTGGACCTTTCCCAAGCAATTTATCACAGGACTTCTCAATTCTGACTATCAGAGGAGCTCCCTGTTGCACTGGAATCCATCATTTCTCGTGCAGCCCCAGGGATGTGAAGGGCAGGTGTCTGCTGGCCCACACAGGGGCTGTGCTGCACATCCCCAGGGTCACCTGTGGGTCCAGAGGCTGCTGGCCCCTTTGCACCCTGTCCACTCACCCAGCAGGCTTGGAACAGGCTTGGAAGTGTGGCCTCCTACTTCTCAACACCATGGCTATAAATCATCCTTTCGCTTCACACATGCACCTAATTAGCTGTATTTAGTACCCACAAGGCAGCAATCTGAGACATATTTTATTTAAGTTTTCCAAGGAAAGTGCAGATTTTGTTTTCCAAACAGGACCTACTCAAAGGACCCTGCAGATGTAGCAGTGTGGGATGGTCAAGCTGCTGAAGGCTCAGCCTGGCTGTGCCACATGCTCACGCTTTGACTTGCTCCCTCCCTTCAAAGCTGCTCTCAGAATATTTGGCAAGACAACAGCACTGACACCTTCACCACACATTTTACCCAAATCCCAGGAGCAACAGACCTAAAATGGGAGGGAAGAGGAGGAAAACTATGTCCTACAAGAGGTCCATGAGAGCTGGAGCCAGGACAGCACAAGCAAGACCTCCAGAGAAGATGCTCTTCCTTTTCAGAGAGAATGGAGGGACATGAACTTTGCAGCAACAGACGAGCAGAAGAGCAGTGAATGAGGATCTTAATCTAAAAATAGGTTCCAAAAGAGACCTTGAGATTCATCTCCCTGCCAGTCCCTGCTCCCCACAGTCTGGCAGCCCAGGTGGATCTCCTGCACAGCCCTGCTGAGCTGGCAAGAGAATCGCTCTGGATGGCATCGCACGGAGAAGCAGCTTTCTGGTCTGGAGTCTGAACAGACAAGTTGGGGAAAATTCAGTTCTTGCAGAACTGAAGCAGCACATCTTGTTTTAATTCGTGGTGCAACATAATCTTAAATCATCTTCAGAGAAGAGTTGCAGAAATATTTTCTGAGAAGCTAAACAAGCACCCCCTTTCCTTTCAGATTGCTCTTCAACTATAAAATTCTGTAACTTTTCTGGAGATCATCATCTGTTTTTTGCTATAGAAATTGACACAAAAATTGTTCAGAAATGTGTCATTCAAAACACATGGAGAGTTGACTCATCCTTTACCATTTCACTGACCCATC